GCCGTGGTGGACCATGCCCAATTCCCTGGAGTGGGGGTGCACGGCGGGGACACTCTTCCTGGTGCAGGCGGACCCCCCTGCGTCAGGACGAACCATGCACAGAAAAATGGAAGTGAGCAGGGCCACTCCTCCAGACACGCGCTGACCCCCTGTGTTGGAATGAGTTGGCACTTTTCAGGATATAAAAGGCCCAGGGTTCGAGAAAGATTGAGAGAAGAAAGGAGGGGGAGAGGAGAGGAGAAGAGGGAGATGGAAAAGGACCTGGACCTTTTATGGCCAACTTTACCTCTGCAGGGACGCCCAAAAAGTATGTGCCTGCCACTCTGTTTGCTCTCAACGCACCTCGGAGCTGGCCTCCTGGTCACTGAACAAATGTGCAGGTTGGTAAGAATCTGTGCCTGATCTGTTCTTTGGTAGCCTTTAGGTCTCTCTCTTTCTGGCTTGGGATATCTCTGGGTTTCACATCTGGCTGAGTTTGTAACAAACTTTCCAGTAGTTTTGGGGTGGAGATGTGTGGCTTATGTTCCTTCTCCAACCAGAATCCTTCGATCCTTGGAACACAGTCACAGTTCTACTAATAGGACAAGAGTCCAACAGGACAATGTCCCTACTCTGGATCTGCATCTCAGTCCATAAAAATGTTCTTACAGTGGGAGCACTGCATCTCAGCTACCATCTGATAGAAGCATTCTTGTAAAGTGATTACTACCTGCTCCCCCTTCCTCCGAAGCATAGTGTTTCTGGGCTGTTAGCTCATAAATGAACTTATTCAAGAATAACCAGAAGCAGTAGCTCTTTGTTATTAATGTTCTGGTTGGTTACTTTTCCTTTTTTTGGGGGTACAGAGTTCAAATCCACTGAATTAAAAAAACAAATCCAAACCTTAACTGCATCTGACAATGAATTACTGGGATTCTCTATTAATTTCTGGAGGTAGTTCCAAAGATCTCTACTGATACAGAAGACTTCAAGATATCTTTCCTTTTCTATACCACTGATGGAAACTGTGGGTTGCGTAATAAAAAGCTATATAAATTAATAAGCCACACATTTTTTTTCGCCAGGGCACCAGGTTGCCCTGTTTCACCACATCCTCTCCTACTGACCCCACTGCCAGCTCTTGTCCCATTAACCTCACCATGTGTATTTGTCCACTATTAATGATAGCTAGGTCTTTGAATAGCCTGCACTGTGGCTGAGAATGAGCTAGGTTTACGTTTGAAAGGCTTTTGCTGGTACAACTATGCTAAGATGATACTCTAGCATGGCGCTTATTACGGGGAAACATAATTTATTCCAGCAAAATTATCCTTTTGACAGTACGTTTTTATTTCAGACTCCTAAAGGAAAAGGCTGTATACTGGTAAAAGTGCACATTCACTTGTATAAAGGCATCTTTTAGCACCTTTTAAACAGCACAGCTGTCTCCAGCACAAATCACACCTTATTATTCTCCTGAGCAATGCACAAGTTTGTAGCTTAGGCCTGCCACCAGCCACTTAGGACTCTTGAAAATTCTGCCCTACGATCTTAGTGTGAATTCCCTCCTGATTCCAAGTACTGCCACAGCTGCAGCGATACAGAAATAGTGTAAACAAGCAAAGGCAGAATTTATGCCAGTGAAGCAAAACAGGAAAGTAGAAGCCAATTCCCTAATGACAATACCAACATCTTGATAATGAGTATTTCTTCTTTTTTTTTTTTGTTTTTTTAATCAGCATCAAGTAAATAGAATTCTGGAACTCTGTAAAGAAGTGCAAAGTCTGCATGTTTATTGAAAAAGCTCTAGGAAATAAAATAAATAAGACCATGGAACTGGTAATTCATCCACTCCGTGTGTAAAAGCACCATCTTCCACTAATAACTACTATGTCAGCATATACAGAGTTCATGAAAAAAGAGATTTCTATGACCCTTTCCTATCTTCTCACTTTAAGTACCACAACTAAATTTAAGGAAGTTTATAAATTCAGGTTAAAAAAAGGCAGGGGAAGAGGGTTAAGGAGGATTACATATTAACTACCCCAGAACGTAAATATGTTAAAAAAATACTAATAAATCAAAACTCAGACTTAGAAATACATGTGCAATTGTTCAGGATAAAAGGATTGTATGGAAATATTGTGATCTGACAAAAGATAATGACTAAGCACAAAAATCAGCAAGAACTTAAGATATGTGTTACATAAAGATTTACAAGATGAAAGTGCAACATAAAGCATGCTCGAAACTAGAAAGTACAGCCTAGTTGTTGGCCAACAACCATCTGGGTAGGAATATTTGACTAAGTTAAAAAACCCTGTCATTGTAACACAGACCCACGTTTTCTATAAGCAAGTAACTGCAGGTACAGAAGTTAAACCTTTAACGGATGACGATTTAAATCACAATTAGCAAATGGAATTCTGATTCCAAACAACTAAGACATCACAGGTCTTCTGTTTCATCACCGAAATTTAGAAGTCACCTCTAAACCACCTCTGCTCTTTAAAAACCTCTTCTATCCAAATCAAACAGTAACAGAAGAAGTTACAAAAGCCTCCCTACTTTCAAATCCAAACCATTATGATGACAAGTACAAAGCAAAAGCACTGGCACTGTCAACACTGATTATCAATATTTTTATTGTCAAAGCAATGTCTGTATAAGTTAAGATGCTTCTTAACTTATAGGTTAATCCTATAAACTTACTGTTTCTTCCACCAACACTTCATTATCCACCAGCTTCACCAACCAGAGCTCTGAGGTGTTTATGCAAAAAAAAGTAATTATAATATTACATGATTATGCGATAATATTAATCTAATGGTACTGTAATTAAAACCAGAGAGAGCTCAAAGTACAAAACATGTATTTCTCCACTGCTGATGGCTGATAAACAATCACACAATATGTGACAAAAGCAGGAGGCTGGCATCTAGCATCCCAGTTGTGCAACCTCCTCAAAAGATGAACGGACACACTTTTATATTGCTTTTCAAACACCACCAAAATTTACAACAGCAAAAACAAGACCCCACAACAAGCTTCTAACCTTTTGATACTTCTGCCACCACTGCTGTATAGCTCGGTCCTGCCATGCCGTAGGTTTCGAAGGAGGAAATATATGGCATCGGCTGAGAGACTGCAGCTGCACTGCTGCCATTGTTGAAGGCAGCACTCGCTCAGGAAGTATTTGTACTTTAGCCTGCTGGATTCTGACAAGAGAAAAAGAGACGAGATATACACACATAAACAAGAGTTGACAACAAAAATGGATTTTACTGCTTTTAAAAACATAAGCTTGTGTAATAGATTAATCATTAAGGAGTAGTATAGGATTTAAGCAGTAATTCATTTCATCAAAGTTTTTAAGTCGTACTAATGTAAACCAAGTAACTTTAGGGAACATTCAGCACATCTGCAGCAAACCAAACACATGCTATTCCAGAACACAGATAATCTCACACCCTTGGCTAAATTATTAAAGCCACTGTGCTGACTGGACTTTGGTCTACGTAAGTCGAAGACAGAAGCAATCTCTATTTTTACTTTTCCTTTAGAAAACAAAATTAGCTGATGTCCACATATTTTCTGCACTGACATACAGACCTCTACAAAGATCACTGCTTTAACTTTTTCAGCAGAAGTTTATTTGCTGGGTTTTTTCATCCCATCTCACAGCTAACTTTTCCATGGGATACAACAGGCTATCTTTATTTTAGAGCACTAGATATCTGTTGTGATTGTGGTGGACAGATTAAAGACAGATTGGCAGTGGCAACCCAGCAGAATATTTTACCATCTCAGCATTGTGTATTTAGAGTTTTGTCTCCTCAAGTTACTTTGGTATGAACTAACAGTCAGCATTACATACCAAATCCTCAGAAAGGAAGTTTAGCTGAAATGCAGTTTGCTATCTTCAAACCACAAAAGCTTATGCACTTAGCTAGGGTTCAAAATCAGCAGAAACAGGATATAGACTGATCATCTTTTAATATCCTAGCATCAACCAGGTCATCTATTCCACAAAGAGTTCAGCAACTGTTATGTGGCTACTAAAAATACTGTCTCGCAGGAAGGACTTTACATTTTAACAGTACTATGCATCAGAAATCCTGAAATACTGAGATGTATGTCCTTACAAACATGCAATTTTACTTACAGGGACTACAATGAACTCTGTTAACTTACTGTAGACTTTAAAATGATGTCTTCCCATAAGCACTTCACTTAGTAATTGGAAACACCAAGAACTATAGAAATCTGCTTCTTGCTAAGAAGCTCAGTATTTTCCCCTCTTTATCAAAAAAGATTTTTATCAAAAAGTCCTTCTCCAAGCTTTCTTGTTGGCCCCTTTAGGCACTGGGAGCTGATCTAAGGTCTCCCTGGAGCCTTCTTTTCTCCAGGCTGAACAACCCCAGCTTTCAGCCTAAAATCAGTCTCAACCCTTCTATTTCATACATTCACAAATTCGTATTTATGAATGAATTTTGTGAACATGCTGCGTAAAAGTGATCTCTGCTAGTCAGTAGATAGAAAAATCATCATAATAAAATGCTTCAACAGCACAATATCCTTGTACATCTTAACTTGTTCTGGATACTGAATTCTTAATGATGATGCTGTTAGTCGTCCAAGTACTGCCATCTTGTGTACAAACAATGGTTCTTCCAAGATGTAAAATTTGAAGTATGTTATTTGTAACCAAATGTTAGCTAGGGAGAAATAGCAAGTAGCTATTCTTCATTTCTTCAGCTGCAGGTCATAGAAGCATAGAAAAACACTGAGCTCGAACTGTTCCTATAGTATCATAGAATAGTTTGGGTTGGAAAGGACCGTAAGACCATCTAGCTCCAATCCCCCTGCCATAAAAGCACTATGCCTCTAAGCAATGCCTCTATACCAAGCAATAGCAGAAGAGAGATGATGAGCTGCAGATTTACCGATTTGGAGTAAGGTGTTAGAGGCCCTGCAGAAAAGATTACAAAACCTCTAGCAATCGTGCTAAGAAAAGTCACGTGCTCACAGGATCAGTGTCTGGAGCATGTATCTCTGGACAGTGTCACTGGCAGAAGCTCATGATGCAATTCATGGTGCAGAAGATGATGTCAAGAAGAACATGAAAACAACAAAAGACAGCACATTCCTAACTAAATGCTGAACGTCTCAGCCACTTTTATAAATGGACAAAGGTATAAATTACGTAATACGATAAAACTGGCTAGAAAAGGAGCTTTAAATATCACAGGTATCACATTGGAATACGGAAAAGAACAGGACTACAACACAGAAAATAACACTATCAAAGCTGATTTGAGCATGTTTGACAAGTACGTGAAGATTGTCAACCAGTAACAGGACAAGTAGCATATTTCTAGCAGTGAAGGATCAGTGAATGATCAGAAAGGAAGAGGTAAGACTTGCTGAAGTTAAGGATGTACTAAACTGTGACAACAGTTAAAATAAACAAGATTTAGTATCTGAGAAACTGAAAGCAATGGGCTGTTTGTAGTTAGCAAAAATCAAGAACCTATTTTCATACTCAAATATTTATCTGCACATCTCAGTGTGCTTTTATGTTTTATAGAAGAAAAGATGAACAAGAGAATCAACTTGTTTCTGCACTATTATCACCAGACTCTAGTGTTCCCCTTTCATGGGAAACTTCTCATGAAAACCACCAGCCCTGATATGTCCTCTCCGTATCAGAATCATACAGGTGAACCCTTCTGCACGCTGTTGAGGCTCAGCAGTTAAAGATCACTCAAAAGTACAAAAACAGACAAGCATGTTTTTCTTAGCTGATGTGTCAAACCCTTGCCTGCAGCCTTTCAGAGCTGCAATTACACATAAAGTTATGAAGTGGAACATGTTTAATGCAGATCAGCTCTAGAAAGGTCTCCTTTCAGGGAATGAAAGTTAGAATTTTTCAAAGGAAGGGAATCTGGTCGCTACCAGGGATGCTTTCTGCAAGACAGCAAAAGGCACACACTTGGTATCGTATCATTTCACATGTGGTTTGAAAAAGGGATGTAAGAGATTTTGGAATAAAGCTTTAGAACTCATAACACAGGCAAATCAACATCTTTTTCCTGAATTAAATTTCAGAGACAAAGTAATTCTGACAGATACTTTCTCACAGACACCAAATCAAATTACAGGTAGATACGCTTCAGAGGATTTTATAGCAAAATTATTAGCAACTAAAACATGAGTCTTGGAACAGGAAATATCAGAAGTCCTTAATAACCAGAAAAGCTACTCATTAAGCATTCATTTAATACCTACAGTAATTAGTCAACTGTGTTACTGGAAGCAGAGATGCACCTGCAGTAAAGTGTAAATGTTTTGGTGAAACAAGATTTGCAGTATGTAGGATTAAATACATAATTTTCTTACCCATCTGATTGGGTTCTTATTTCAAGCACCTTGAACCTCTGTCTTCCTATTGCTTTCACTTTGACCGTCTCAATTCCATATTCCTGCTCTTCTCTGTAGGCATATATTTCTGCTGTGGTTCCAAAATGTGCTTCCCTTTCATGTACGTTACTAGAAGCAACAGAATAGAGAAGGTTACCTACCCTCCGAACAGCACCGTTCATTCAGACTTCCGTTAGTTTCCCTGCACTGACTGTACATAATTAGTCTTATCAAAAAGGTAAATTTGGTGAAATAATTTCAACTAATCACAATCATTATTTTTTCAATTTAAAAGACACTTCTAATGTTTTATTTGGTTGGGGGGTTTTGCCAGTTGCCTTGGATTTAGTTTGGGGTCTAGAGGTGAAATTCTGGGAACAATGGGATTGCCAATATATCTGCATTTGAAATACAGACACTGAAAGTACCAAAATTCTTTAGACTGACTTTCAAAATAGCTGTTGCCACCTCTGACATAATTAAGCCACAGTAAATTGCAGAGGGGAGAGGGAGAAATATTCCCCTCTTCTTTTGGCACAGATTAGCCTTTATCTTTTCTGCTTTTCTATCAACTCCTGTGTCTCAACTCTGTTGTGAAACACTTGTCTGGGCTTGTTAATCTATAGACAAAACAAGCAAATACACCTTTACAACAATGCAGTTCTCAAAACAAGAATCTGATTTTTACATTTCGGATCAAGACTTAGTCTATAAGCAAGCTGGAGCAGTGCATTCAAGGAGTGACTGAAATCGAACAAGGAAAGCAGATTAACTCTTACTGTTCCTCTATACAAACATGTGATACTGTCAAGCAGCTACCCATGATGACAGGAAAACATTTTCATTACAAACTCGAAGACAAGTTTTGTCAATTTCAAAACATAACTTATGTTATTCACCATGGAACTGATGCAACCATCTGCTTTTCATTTAGTATCCATAGAAATTGTGCTAAAAATACATTCTGCATAGCATCAGTAAACCCACTCGTGTATTTTACCTGTATGCAAGAACAGCAAACGTTCTGTCTTTCTGAATTAAATTCCGCACCATGCTAACCTCTTGAGGGTGAAAAAGCTGAAGAGGTAACGTCTGTCCAGGAATCAACATCACCATCACATGGGGCAGCACTGGAATCACCTGACAGCTGTCATCATCATGCACCGTCCTGCCATGAAACTCTTCCATATCAGAACCTAAATACTGGAAACAGTAAGTAAGGAAACAACAGCAGTATAACAGGTTTTGGTGATTTACAAGGATAAAATAAAACTAGGTCTTTTTCTTAAGGGTATTACAATAGAATTTCACAAAACCAATCAAGACCTCTTCAAGATGTATTTAATGGACAATATATAAAACATACCATATGTGATGTTGGCAAACTGGTATCAAAATTAATGACGTTTCGCTTCTCAGTTTCTTTACTATCTTGATCTTCAACTTCCATTTCATTGTCATCCTCTTCCTCACTCTCTGCTAAGTAAGCACATACAGAATATTGTTCAGAAATCAATCAGCAAGGACTGATACTGAGAAAAAACACAGAATCACAGAAATGCATCAGATATTCCCAGGCTACAGCCTTTTATAAGGAAGCAACTTTAGTTATTTGTAGACTTGTGAAAAATAATTTTCTTGATGTTACAGCAAAACCACAGTTCTATAGAAAGGGTCAAAAGCAGTTAATTTGCTTCTGAAAGGCTAAAGAACAATTTTTTTTTGGAAGAAAATAATAAACAAAATCTGTCAGGTTAGATTTTTGCTACTGCAGTACTTCCTCATCTCAATTCTGAAAGTCTTCCATCTGTACACCAGGATACCAGGTAACTTAATTTACTGTAGGATACAATACAGTGTTTGAAGTAGTACGAACCTGAACAATATAACTGCATCACACAGAGCAAGCAAGTTAAAAGCAACCTGAACCTCTATTTTTATGCAAAGACTCTTGCTGGTATTTTAGACTAATTCACTGCTGTCAGCCCCTCCTGTGTGTATACCAAACACACACACAAACCCCAACACTCGCACAAATCCAGCAAAGGCAACTACTAGGGAAACAAATGACTGCAAGGGATTTCAGGAACAAAATAAGAGTTAAAAATTACAAACTTTCTTTCCTTTTCTCACTGCCTGGTGTCAATTCTAAAATGACTTTCAGGCAAGAGGGCAGTTAAATTCTCAGTATGCTTTATTTTGGAAACATAAATATCTGGAGAAATCTGCATAGATATTTTAAAACAAATTAAAATACATAGCGAATAGAAAATATAATTATCTCTAAAATGCTGGTTTCATTGCCTGTCCTGTGCATTATCATACAATGTATGCATGCAAATAATCACCCAAAACAAATGCAATGATCACACTTTTTAACTGCATTACTTGATCCTATTTCTTTTAGCCCAAACTGTATTTATATACCATGCTGTATTTAAAATAAACGTTATCACAATCTTTGTAACCAATCTGCAGGATTCTAACACCGAGAGCTGCTGGGTAATTCACAATCTCAGTGGTGTTGAAAAAGCATCATTTAGATCTTGAAAGCTACTGCATTGCAAGATAGGCACAAAAATATCTTTACAGTAGCCTATCTAGTTGCCTGCCTTTGAAATTAGTATCTTAAAACGTAATCCAGAGTGGAATGTTTAAAAGGTGGAGTGATTATCTTAACTGAAAGGTACTGTAGGCAAATCGTACAAAAGAAAGCTGCTGTAGAAGGAAGGAGTCTTCCTTCACAAATGGGAGTACTACCACCCTCTTTCACCAAGATCTTACTATTTCTGAGAGTGGAAGGACAAGAGAACAATGAAGAATGCATTATAATCTGGTTTTGGAGAATCTTTTCTTTCTCTCTTCAGCATTCAGACACATTTCTTAAATGTACTCTATTCAAAATGTTTATCCAACAATCTTCTTTCTGCTCCAACTCACTTTATTTGTTACTAATGCATAGTTTACAGAACCTTCTGTAGGAGGCACGGCATGGCACACAGATGTCACAGTAAACATCATATACTGTATTTATCTCGACAAGAAATGATCCAGCATGACAAGAAAGGAGGTTACAGGCTCACTTTGGTGTTTTACCTAATTACAGAACTTAAAGCAATAAGACATCATCTTTCTGATTACTGTGAAACATACTCAATTCCTCCCTTACATTCAGTTTCATAACCCTAAATGAGTGACAAATGTTTAAGACATAGAAAATAGCCAGCATTTTGCTTAGTTTGACGGAGGGTTAGTAGGAAGTTTCTGTTTGGTTCTGGAGCAGGAGTGCAGGGTGAGGAAGGGAAGCTGACTTCATCAAAAACTATATTCTGGTTTGTATGTACTCTCATCAAGTTGCATCAGTCATTAGCACTTTATTTAATAGACTTCTAGGGAGAGGCCCTGTCACTCCTTTTAATGAACACAGAAGGAATCAGCAGCAGTTGATCAGGAAGAACTGTGCCCTGCAAACTTTTGCTCGTTCTTGCCAAAACCACACACTAGCTGCTGTGTGGTGGCTGAGAGGAACGATGACTCATTTTACTGCAGCAGCACCATGTGAACGTCGAAACATCTTCCCCCTGCTCCTCCATCACACCACCGAGCAGCAGACGGAAGGCAACAGAAACTGCATCGTTTACACCCTTACACTCTTTTTAATGTTGGTTTTCTTCTTCCTTTTTTCAAGGTTAGCAACACCTCCAGTTCCCAAGGGAAAGAAAGGCAAGTGCTGAAGGCACCCTGCATGACAAGGCTCACTTCTGCGGCAGGTAAGGTGTTCCAGATACTCATGCTGGTGCACTAACACTACCAAACTTGCTCTCAACACCTTTGTGCAGAAATGAGGAATTCTGAATTTCATTTAAAAAAACCCAACAAAAATAGCTTCCCTTCCC